TCTTGCTAGTTGCTACTTCTGGAGGAAAAGATAGTAGTAATCTTTTGGCTTCTTGTAATATAATTTATAGATACTCTACCGTTCTAGCTAGGAACAACCATTGTGAATTTTGTTTGCCAAATTAAAGGGGATAAATTCTTTAGAGGTTTGGAGGCATACTACATTAAAATTATAGATTAATCTTTCCTACACTGACAGCGTTGGATGAATGACAACTATATATGTAAAATTTGAATTTAATATTTAACTTTTGCATATATGTTATGAATCCAACGGTGATAGTGTATACACTGTCAGTGTATATAGTATTTGCTGTAAAATTATTATGCATGTCATCGGATGAAAGACTTGGTACTTGCCTTAGATTTGCAAAACAACGAGTAATCAAAGAGCACCATTAATTAGAAAGTTTTGATAATCTCAGGTAGTTGAATTAATGTGGCACACGAGTTTGTAGTCTTGTATTTTGAGAATGGAGAGGAGGCCAAAAGAGGAATTATGCCCCTTTCATCCATGCAATGTTGTTTGGAACGAGCTCATGCTATCTTAAGCGCAAAACTTGGACCAAGTTATCTCCCAAGTCCTAACCTATTGATGATCTTGCATTGCTACAGGATCAATATAACAATGCACCTCTCTAGTTTATGATTAAGTTGGGACATTTGACGTGTGTAAATAATTTATGCTGTGATATATAACAGCCTCGTTTGAGTTTAGAGCTAAATGCTGTATTGATAATGAAAGATGGCCTACCTAGTCAAAAAACCAAAGAGAAAACCAAATATAGAGCCGCCCACCCTGTTAATATTCGACGTTGTCAAACTCGAATGAAGAATTTGAAGGAAAAAAAAAAAACTTTCATGTAGACCTTATTAAGAAGGTAGATAAGTACCAAAAACCAGGGATTTACGTTTAATTGATGACGAATTAAATTCTTGGTAATTAAACCACACTGCAGGGATGATTAGATTGAATGGTAAGATAAAAAAAGTTATAAATAGGAGATATTAGGTTTAAAACCTTCCACTTAGAAAAAAGAAAAAAAGAAAGAAAAACCCGCATTGCTCTTGCTAAAACGTAAAAATAAACGGGTAGAACCTGGATTTTGATTAGACGAGTATTTTGACCAAACCTTTTTTCTCGTTTTCCTTTTAACTTCTAGATGGAGATATTTAATTAAGTATACCAAACGAAAAGAAAAATCATACACACATGTGAGATTATAAAAGAATTGCCACGTTCAAGATTACTAAGCATGTGTGCATAAATACATGGTGAAGGTCGGTCAATGGGCTGTTGGGGTAATTATCAGGACCAAATTTTTTGACCTTGTTTTCTTCAACAAATTTATGTAATCTTCCATGCATGATGAGGGTGAGAATGGGGACTAAGAAACTACAGTCCCTAACTCCCTATCAATGGATATATTCCTGTGACTCAATACCTATTCTTCTTCTCTTCATCTAAAAGTGCGAAAGAAAAACTGATAAATGAACATAGATTATATTGATATTTGGTTAACAGTAGAAGTTCTAACCCAACCTCGAAAGTTTACGCGCGTTGCGTTTGCTGGCTTTCTCCAACATAGAAAGACGTCTTGACATCGACAGTCCATCAACCTGAGAAACAGTGAGCCAATTAGATGAAGGGCTGACTAAAGAAACTATTATCGGCACTGTGAGTTATGACCAAACAAGTGGAATTGCTATATTTGCTCACATGGATATGCTTGTTCCTCCTCGTGTTGTCTAATTAATTGCTAGTTCTCCTCTTAGAAGCAATCAAATTTGGGATAAGAATGGGAAGTCAGAAGTGGGAATGGCCGTACTCTAATAGTCCATGAAATCATAATCTCCTCTTTTTCTTCTTGCTTTCCATTTTTCGAACGGCAATTAAATACTTCCTCCTCTTGGCTATACCCCTTTCATAACTCACAGTTTTTTGTATGAGTGTTTCGATAAATGGACTCTGCGAAGAGCCAATTTACTACAACCAAGTACACCTTCTCCAATATTCCAATGAACATGGATTCAACCTTGAAGTCCACTTTCGATGAAAATGGTTGGGTTGTTAGAATCAGTCGAAAACTGGACGAAGAGCTTGGAGAAGAAATTGAAATCCCTGTTAGCATCTTTAATGTCCCTAAAACCCTTTTGAATAGCCATCCCATTTCCTATATACCCCAGCAAATTGCCGTTGGCCCGTACCACTATTTTAGTCCCGAGCACTATGAAATGGAGAGATACAAGGTTGCAGCAGCTAAGAAAATTCAGAAAGAGAACCAAAATCTCAAGTTTCATCATGTCGTTGACCAGTTCAAGAAGCACGAGCAAAGGATTCGGGCTCACTATCACAGATACCTCAATCTCAATGGTGAAACTTTAGCTTGGATGATGGCTGTGGATGCTTCTTTCTTGCTTGAGTTCCTGAGAATCTATGCTGTGAAAGAAAGTGAGGTATTGACTCGAAGCTCTTCGAGCATGTCACATTTTATCGATGTTGCAGGCAAAAAGTCAGCTCATAATGCTATCCTTAGAGATATTGTGATGCTAGAGAATCAAATTCCACTCTTCCTGTTGAGAAAGGTGTTAGAGTTCCAACTTTCATCACTAGACTTGGCGGATGAGCTGCTGATTTCGATGCTGACCGGGTTCTACGACGAGATTTCTCCATTTAAGTGTATTGAAGAATCGCCAATTCTTGAAGTCATGACAAAGAGTGCTCATTTGCTAGACTTCGTGTACCATACCATCGTGCCCAAATTTGAAGGACCATCTGGGAAGCAGAAGTTGACCAAGAACATGATGAAGTCAAGGAGGGTGAAGAACATTCCTCCCAGAAATCGAGCCATGTCAAAAAACTTCTTGACATGGTGTGGAACGCACTCTCTAAGTTGGATTGCGGTCCGGTACGAATGATTAAAAGTATTTTGCTCTCAAAACCGATTGAAGTTATCTTGAAGTTGCCTTGGACGATTATCTCTAACTTTCCAGGGGTAAGATTGTTGAAACAACCTATCGAAAACTTGTTCTTCCCTCTAAATAAAGAAGAGGGCAAAGCAGAAAATGAAAATTCTAAAGCTGGAGAAAAGTTTGAAAAACCTCCATTGGTGGAGGAAATAATTATTCCATCAGTCACTGAACTTTCTAAGGCTGGGGTTCGATTTGTTCCAACTCATGCAGGCATTTCAAGCATCGACTTTGATGTTAAAACAAAGACTTTTTATCTCCCTGTGGTTTGTTTAGACGTTAACTCGGAAGTGGTTTTGAGAAACTTGGTGGCCTATGAAGCGTGCAATGGCTCAGGGCCATTGGTTTTTGGCTCAGGGCCATTGGTTTTTACTCGGTATACAGAATTGATGAATGGGATTATTGACACTGGAGAGGACGTCAAGTTTCTCAGAGAAAAAGGTATAATTGTGAACCATTTGAAGAGGGATGAAGAAGTGGCGAAACTGTGGAATGGCATGAGCAGATCTATCAGATTGACGAAGGTGGAGCTTTTGGATAAAGCCATTGGAGATGTGAACAAGTATTACAATGGAAAGTTCATAGTAAAATTCAAGAAATTCGTGACAAGATATGTCTTTGAGTCATGGAAAGTTTTAACATTTTTTGCTGCAATTCTGATGTTGCTATTGATGTCTGTACAAGCGTTTTGCTCTGTCTATAGCTGTCCTCGAATATTCAATCGGGTCCAAAACTTTCAGTGGTTAGCCCTAATGATGTATGGTTGTTGAGAAAGATTGAAGAATTGAAAATTAGTGTGATCTGTTTGCCAAGAAATAAGGATAAAGATTGATGCCATTCCTCTACCATTTTTCGATTGTTTTATGAAAATGTGGGTCTGTAGCCATGTTCATTTAGTTTTGGATGCTGACTTGCTGTTTGTAGCCGGTTGATGCAAGTATGATACTTTGCACTGGTTCTTTTTGATAGGCCAAGCAGCAATCACAATGATTAGAGTAATACAACCAATAAGTTAATCTATAAATTGCAAGAATTATAGTAATACGAAAATAACATAAATGTACATATAAATAGTGGGAGAACAAATTTATATGTAATAAAATTTAAATTCATAACCTTTAATTCTTGAGATACGCGTTATAATCATAGATTACCTGTAAAAGCATGAAGGCTATTGGCGTATAAGAGCACTCCTCCCTCCTCTTCTTCTATTTTTTTTTTTCCATGCCCCCCTCTTTTACAACATGCTATATGTGCATTTTTCTTAATTTAATACTTTATCAGAAAGAAATAATTTGGGAAAAACATGATTACATGTCAAATTCAAAATTTTTAAACATCAACAATTCAATATATTACGTTCCATCGTCTTATTCTGTGAACTAGATGATAAGGCAATAATGGAAATGGATTGATATTATCATTCTTTCACCTGAACGCTTAGAAAGAGAGAGGGTGGACTAGCAAAAGGATTGCCTAACCAATTCAGCTAGTTCAGTAGGCCACTAGAAAGGGATTAAGTCCCTCCCTAGGCATAGCTTAGAGGTCAAATCCCCTGACTATGTGTCCCTTCCAGAATTTTCGTGGAACATGATCGCATGTTATTTATTTCCCTTTGAATCTCTCGATAGATTAGATAAGTCCATCCTCCCCTTTTCTCTAATATAGAACCAATTGTGTTGTACTCAAAAAAGGGATTACCTTACTGAAAAATTATTTTCTCATGCCCCCAAAATTAACTAATTAATTTTTTTCTTGTGTAGAATTGCTACCTTTTTTTTTTTGCATAATCCAAATTTTCTTCCACAATTACGTAAATTTTGGTTTGAAAGGGGGGAAAAATGGAGTGCTTCAAGAATACTATCAAGAATGTAAAGTCAAGTGGCCATGTTAATTACCCATATCCGGCCTCTTACTAGCCCAATCAGATTACTTGAAAACTTCCGGCCCATATCCGGCCCATAAACTCAAATTTCACAACGCTATTGTACTCGTCTAGTTGTTTTCGCCGTCTCTGTAAACAGTCAAGAAATGTTTTCTTCAATTTCCTCTCGATTCTATTCCTACAATTTTCCTCACTTTCTTCTCTCCCAACTCCAAATTTTCCTAACCTTCCACACATTTGCTTCCAAAAATCCACTCTCTGTAGCTAAATTCCAGAACTCAACTTCATACTTCAATGAAAAACCCCCAAAAACACCATCAAATTCCAATCTTTCCTCCAGTAAAACCATTCTTAAACCCTCCCCTGACAGCGCACATGAGTTTCTTGATTTCAACCCCACCACAGTTCTTGAAACACTCTCTTCATACAACAATGACTGCAAAAGGGCATTCGATTTCTTCAATTGGGTCGAAATCCAATGTGGGTTCCAGCACACGACCGAAACTTACAACCGGGTCATTGATATTCTTGGTAAGTTTTTTGAATTTGATATTGCATGGGATTTGGTTGAAAAAATGAGGAAAAGTTCGGCTTTTTCAAAGCCTGATCGAACAACATTTAGGATTCTGTTTAAGCGTTATGTTTCAGCTCATCTTGTCAAAGAAGCTATCGATACTTTTACTAGAATGGAAGAATTTAATTTGAAAGATGAAGGTTCCTTTTCGAATTTGATTGATGCCTTGTGTGAATATAAGCATGTGATAGAAGCTGAAGAATTGTGCTTTGGAAAGAATGGAGATTGCGCTGAAGTGCTAAACTACAAATTGGATACGAAAATATACAACATTATTCTTCGCGGGTGGTTTAAGATTGGGTGGTGGAGGAAATTTAGGGAGTTTTGGGAAGAAATGGATAAAAGGGGTATTCCAAAAGACTTGCATTCTTATTCTATATATATGGATATACAATGCAAGAGTGGGAAGCCTTGGAGGGCAGTGAAATTGTTCAAGGAGATGAAAACGAAGGGGGTTAAGTTGGATGTAGTGGCGTATAACACACTTGTTCGGGCTATTGGGATTTCAGAAGGGGTAGATGTAGCACTTAAGCTTTACCGAGAGATGATTGAATTAGGCTTTCTACCAAATATAGTGACTTATAACACAATTTTGAAGCTTTTGTGTGAAAATGGGAGGTACAAGGATGCGCATAAATTTTTCAATGAGATGTTAAACAAGGGTTGTGAGCCAAATGTAAGAACGTATAATTGCTTTTTTGGATGTCTTCAAAAGCCTGGAGAGATTTTAAAGTTGTTTGATAGGATGATTGAAACTGGAGTTCAGCCAACAATGGAAACATATGTCATGCTTATGAGGAAGTTTGGGAGGTGGGGTTTTCTACGACCTGTTTTGCTTGTCTGGAAGAAGATGGAAGAGCATGGAGTGAGTCCAAATGAATTTGCTTACAATGCTTTGATTGATATTTTGGTGCAAAAGGGTATGGTTGATATGGCACGCAAGTATGATGAGGAAATGATGGCTAAAGGGTTATCTGCTAAGCCCAGGGTAGAACTTGGGACCAAGCTGATAAGTGTTGGACCTGAAGATGGTTGACTGCACTTCTTGTTTCATGACAAGAAAATGTCTATTTTGCAGCTCAAGTGACTGCGTCAGGGGATTATGCTTGTTCATCTGTTGAAAGATGCTGCAATCTTCTTTGCCAAGTGTTATTCTTTAATTCGTGTTCAATGCGTTGATAAACTTACTTTGGTATTTGTGAGTGGACAGTAGATTGAAAGATCTGTGGTGAAAGATGCTTGGCGCAGAGAACATGGGTAGGTGGATCCAAATGCATGAATGGTCTCTTGGGGAATTGGAGGTTTTAAACTGCAATTTCAAGGTCATGGTTCTCCTTTATAAAGCTGAAAGTGTGATCATGAAACTTTGGAGCTGAATGTTCCTGTTTTGCAGTTTTGCTTACCACATCTGGGAGATTGTATTTTCAGTCCCTTGCATGGAAGACAACTTCGAGATTCTTACATCCCAAGCAGGACGTTCATTTACTAGACCAATCAAGATAAGGCAATGGTAAACATATATTTTCAAATTCAGTTGCTCTTCAATTCAGTATATTGTGCTATGTAAGTGGTTTGATGGAATAGAAGTTTATATTCACTAGTTACTAAGAACTCAATTAAACAAATACGTTAGGGAAAGGTGTAATATTTTCGTGACATTTAAGAAGATCTGCATTTCATACTATTGGTTTTGACAACTGCAAAATTTAGACCTTGAAATTGGAGCTGCGTCTGATATTTCTCTGATCAATTTTCAACTAAAGAAAGGTCTGCGGATTTCACAAACAGTGTATGTGCATTTGGACATACTAGCTTCCTAAAATGTAGAAAAGATGGCATCTTCTTTAATAGCTGAAATGGAAGATTCTGAGGAGAAGTTTTATGTTTTTGCTTATGTTCTTAAATGATGAAATATTATGCATTGACTTCTAAATCACTCCATGCAGGTAATCTGTTATTAATCTGTTTCTTTTTTGGTATCTTCAAAAGTCTACTTATGTTCCGGTTGTGTGTGAGTGACACGTCACATGCGGACATGGAAACAGTTTTACGCTTGGCTCGCATGCTAGGGGTAAAAGATTAAGTGGGAGAATTCCGAAAAGCCTGAGAGGTTTCTAGCTATGGATTTTTACTCAATGAAGCAACATGATGCTGTATCAAAAGGGTGCAATACATCAAGTACCTGCTGCCTGCAGCTCGTGGACATCTATTCTGATAATTTGCTTCGTTTTTGAATCCTACCACATATTTCAGTTTTATTCTCTGTATCTTTCTGCAAGAGGAACCACCGAACAGATTTAAAGACAATTTCATTTTAAACATGGTGACATTGTTCTTTTAAGTTGTTTGCTTCTTCGGGTGGTTGTCTGGCATTTTGGCCGTCTGGCATTATTCATGTGATCGGAACTTTGCTGATTTAAGAGGGTGCTTAATCAGAGCATCGTCAAATTTTGGGCAAGTTTTACGTAAAAAGTGAAGGTTGTACATATAGAGTGTGTTTGGATTGTAAGTTATTTGAAATATTTTTACTGTAGCACTTTTTGTGATGTGATGTATGTGAGATAAAAAGGTAATTGGGAAGATAAAAAGGTGTATTGAAAATTGTAATGGTGATGTCAGCAAATATATTTGGCCAAATAATTGGCTGTCCAAACACACTCATAGTTATAGGCGAAAATAAGCCCATCTTCTTCAGTGTAATGAAGGTAATGGCTCAATGTAACAAGTGGGGTACTTGTTAAATGGAATGGCTGAAGGAATGCTAGAGCAGGGTGATTTTTTTTTTTTTTTTGGTCTGGTCGATTAGAGCAGGGTGATTGCAATATAATATATTCAAACGAGAAAAATATTCAGGCAAATAAGATCATAGGCGGCCTTGGCAGAAGGCAGCTGCATGCATGTACGGGGGTCCTTCTTGTTAGCTCTTGTGGCATTTTCCCAAGGTTGCTTGTTAGAGAGAATGTACGTGTTGCTCCGAGCTACCAAGCAAGATTAGTGACATGGTCGACACTTTCAATGAGTTTAATTCAACAACTCTTAGAATTTATATAAACTAATAATAATGACAAGAATAATAAAAGAAGGAGTAATGCAATAAAGTCATACAACTGTAAAATCAGAATAGTGAAAAGCTTTTGTTTTATTATATACTAAAAAAATTAAAAATTTCCAATAACAAATTACCAAGGAGAAGGGTGCTGTTTATCGTTCATTATCTTAGGCTTAAAGTGAAAGAGAAAGGAAAGGCATTGATGGCAGAACAAATGAATATTCTACTAGCAAGTCCATCATTACATTCTGTGATTTAATTGTTATATATGAACTTGCATAATATTCCTATGACCCAAATTTTTTTTATTATTAAATTTAGATTTTTCCAACTCATTTTTTCTTCATCTTTTTCTTTCATGCGAGCATATACCGCAGCAGAAGGTGTCGCAAATTCAGATGGTGTATCAAGGAATATGATTATATATTTTACAGGTAAATCAAATGAAACGTATATTTGAGTCTTGGTGGATAACATCTTTACCTATTTATTATATGTTAAGTTCTCTTTGCATTCATTAAAGCTTCATCCTCCAAACCGATCACCAATTAACTCCGCCAGTGAATAAACTTCAATTGTCTTCTTGCTTTACAACTCAAAAACAAGAAGTCTTATCTGTCCATTCACCATGGATTCAAGCTTGAATCAAAATTTTGATGAGGATCGATGGATAATTCAAATCCGTCGAGCCATTGAGGAAGAGCTTGAAGAAGACAATGATGTACCTGTTAGTATTTTCAATGTCCCCAAAACCCTCAAAGTCAGCGATCCAGATTGTTATATACCTCAACAAGTTGCAATAGGTCCATACCATCATTGGAGATCAGAATTATATGAGATGGAAAGATACAAGCTTGCTTCGGCCAAAAGAACTCAAAAACAAATGCAATCCCTCAAGTTTCAAAACGTTGTGGACCAGCTGGCAAGGTTTGAGCCTAGGATTCGAGCATGCTACCACAAGTACTTAGATTTCAATGGTGAAACCTTAGCTTGGATGATGGCTATGGATGCTTCGTTCTTGCTCGAGTTCCTTCAAGTCTATGCCGCAAAAGAAGGTAAAGTACTAACTAGATTATCATCAAGAATGTCTCATTTGGTTGATATTGCAGGAAGAAAGTCTGCACACAACGCAATTCTCAGAGATATGGTGATGCTTGAAAATCAAATTCCATTATTTTTGTTGAGGGAAATGTTGGAACTTCAGTTTTCTTCATTGGAGGCGGCTGATAATGTGTTACTGTCAATGTTAATTGGGTTTTGCAAGGAGCTTTTGCCATTTAAGATGATGGAAGAGCTGCCAAAATTTGAAGTGACGGATTATGCACATTTGCTTGACTTCTTGTACCGTGTCATCGTGCCTAAATTAGAAGGGCCATCTGAAATCACCGAAATTGATGAAGAAGGTGAAATCAAAGAAGCTGAAGAAAGTTATTTTGGAATGTCAAGCCACGTTAAACAAATTGGTTATGTGGTCTGGAACATTATATCAAAGTTGAACAAAGTGTCGGCACGTCTGATCAAAAGAATATTGTTTTCAAAGCCTATTAAAGTCATACTAAAGCTGCCCTGGACGATCATCTCTAATCTACCTGTACTCAGACTCATTAAAGCTCCAATTGAGTACTTGTGCTTCTCTCAAGATAAAGAAAATCAAAAGCCAGAAAATGAGAATTTAAACAGCACTAACATCAACAAACCTCCACTGGTGGAGGAAATCGAAATCCCATCTGTAATCGAGCTCTCTAAAGCCGGTGTACAATTTGTACCTACAAATCAAGGTATCTTGAGCATAAGTTTTGACGACAAAATGGCTACATTTTGTCTTCCCAGCATTAGTCTAGACGTGAACACAGATGCGGTCCTGAGAAACTTGGTTGCATACGAAGCTTGTAATGCATCAGGGCCAGTGGTTTTTACCCGTTACACAGAACTAATGAATGGGGTTGTCGATACCGAAGAGGATGCAAAGTTTCTGAGAGAAAAAGGGATTATCCTGAATCGTTTGAAGAGTGATGAAGAAGTGGCAAACATGTGGAACGGGATGAGCAAGTCTGTTAGATTGACAAAAGTTCCGTTCTTGGATAAAGTGATTGAAGATGTTAACAAGTATTACAACGGCAGGTGGAAAATTAAGATTGGTAGATTCTTAAAGCATTATGTATTTGATTCGTGGCAATTTCTCACATTAATTGCTGCTATTGTGCTCTTGTTCTTGATGACATTACAAGCATTTTGCTCGGTCTATAGCCGTGCTCGTATATTCCATATCAAACAAACTCAGTGATTTCTGTTATGTGAATCTGACCCTGTAAGAATACTAAAGAACATTTGCGTATGCCAGTAATGAGCAAACACTGGTGATAACACATTCATACCTTGTCCAATTGTTTTTACAATGAAGTGATGATTTTTGGTTTTACCTTATTAACTCAGAACCAAAATGTTCATCTGACATTATTTTCCCTCTTTAATTTACATAAACTTGTAGTCGTGAACCAATACGAATGAATTTATGCAAACAGGTAAAGTTTTCCGATTTTTACCTTACAATCTCAAATCTATGTGGTGATTCTTTGTATTAACTGCAACCGGAACTTGAGTGGAGCTATTCAACGCTAGTCCTCACAATCTCTGAATCACATGGTGACGATATTTAACTCTTTTTGTTTCCTGAAATTTTTTGGAGAAAAAGCTCACGATGAATTTGAAGTGATGAACTTAACTTTAAAGCTATATGCTTAATCATTTGTTCAAGTCGATCTCTTTTTTGTTGGACGAAGAGCAGTACTCCAAGTTGAAACTTTTTTCCTCCTTTTGCGCGAGGAGAAGCTCAAGATGAATCTAGAAAAGAGTCGAAGGGGAGAACGATCACCAAACAATTTAAAGTGGCACGGTGCAGTCAGCTAACTTTTTTTTTTTTTTGGTATCAAAAAGGCCACTCAACTCCTTATCACGAGCCTTTTAGGTCATTCTCTACTAAACCAATTAAAAAAGACCAGAATTTTAAGATATTTTTGTCCCTGAAAACAAACGTGCTTTTTTTCAGTTGGTTTACTGGCTAAATTAGAAGATATGACCCGAAAAGCTCGTTTTGAGGAGTTGAGTGAGCTCCTTGATTTTTATTTTTAAAAAAAAGAGAGAGATGAACGACCAGATGGTGTCATTTCAAATAGTTCTGTGACTATATACTCTTTAAAATATAGAAATCAGTATTCCTTGGGACCGGTCTGTTGAAGATAGACCATCACAATCCAAATGAGGCCCTCGAATAGCAGTGCATATGGCAATGATAAATGTGGGGAGAAATGTTCGATCCATCTGTCCTCCAGCAGCAAAGGAAAGGACCAGGGCTGCAAACCGCGTGCTGCCTGCCAGTCAAAACTCGATCGACTCGAACTCGATCAGTAGAGATCAAGTCGGCTTAAATTTGAGTTCAAAAATATTAAATTTATTAGCTCGTGAGTAGGGCTACAAACGAGCCAAGACAAGTCGAGTTTTGGCCTTATCGAGTCGAGTCTTGACTTAATTTCATCAAACTCGAGCTCGACGAGCTGGTAATTTTCAAGCTCGAGCTCGAAAAAAATAAAAAATAATTATTTTATTTTTAAAAAAATAAATAAAATAATATTTTTTCTTAATAAATAATAAAATATTAAGAATATTTATGTAATTTTACTATTAAAAATACAAAAAATATATATATATACTCGAGCTCGCGAGCCTAACGAGTTTAATGTTTTGAGCTCGAGTTCGAGCTCGACTTTGGCTCGACCAGCTTAAGCTCGACTCAAGCTCATATTGATCGAGCTCGAGTCGAGCTCGAATTGAACCGCTCGCGAGCGGCTCGATTCGTTTGCACTCCTACTCGTGAGGGATATATATATATATATATATATTTTAATAGAAAAATTATATATATATTTCTAATATTTTATTATTTATTAAGAAAAAATATTATTTTATTTATTTTTTAAAAATAAAAATTTTTTTTGAACTCGAGTTTTAAATTGACAATTCGTCGAATTTGAAGTCGAGTTCGAACTTGATAAAACCCGGTCAAAACTCAATTTGATTTGGTTAAAAGCCGATTCCATTCGCTTTGTTTGCAGTGCTAGAAATGATCCCCCAATCTCATGCGTGTACGGGGATCCTTCTTATCAGCTCTAGTGGCATCATCCGAAGGTTGCTTCTCCTAGAGGAGGCTGTGTTAGTACGAACTACCACTCAAGATCAGTGAAATACCCAACACTGTCAATAAGTTTAATTCAACAACTCGCAGAACTACAAAGAAA